CTGTCTGTCTATCTGCTTGTCCTGGCACACACCGGTGGAGAAACATGTTAACATGTCCATCTGGGCTGGAGACTCATCTGTTTCTCTTCTGTACTTCTATCGTATTTTCCTGACTTTGTTGTTTTTTTCGGAGGAGGAGTTCTTGTTTGGTTTTGGTAGAGACAAGGTCTCACAGTACAGCCCAGGCTTGCCTCATATTTGCTACATGATCAGGCGACCCTCCAGCAATGGCCCTGCATCAGCCCCCCCCCTCCCCCCGAGCACTGGGATCCTGTACCTTTGTTCTTACTGTCTTTGCTTTCTTTGATGTTCAGTGGGTTGACAATGAGCTATACCAGTGGTTCTCAACCTGTGGGTCAAGACCCCTTCAGAGAGCCAGCGACCCTTTCACAGGGGTAGCAAATCTGATGTCCTTGCATATCAGATAATTACATTATGGTTCGTAACAGGAGCAAAATTACAGCCATGAAGTAGCAACAGAAATGATTTCATGGAGTCACCACAACACGAGGAACTGTATTGAAGGGTTGCAGCATTAGGAAGGTTGAGAACCACTGATCTACACAGACACATACGTGTCCACACTAAATATACACACATGCATACGTGTTGATCCTGCTTTGGGTTTTCCGATCTCCTTTCATTTGTGAATATATGTGTTTCACCAGATCTCAGTGAACTCTAAAGTCTATTCTCCTCTTTCTCTCACTATCCACAACTCCAGTTCCTAGTTTGACAAATCTCTAAACCACAGGTTTCTATGTTTGTATCTGTCTTTCAGATCTGTCGTTGGCTCTCTGAAGGGGTCTCGACCCACAGGTTGAGAACCACTGGTATAGCTCATTGTCAACCCACTGAACAGCAAAGAAAGCAGAGACAGTGAGAACAACGGTACAGGATCCCAGCGCTGGGGGGCTGAGGCAGGGCCATTGCTGGAGGGTCGCCTGACCATGCAGCAAATATGAGGCAAGCCTGGGCTGTACTGTGAGACCTTGTCTCTACCAAAACCACCCCCCACACCCTGTTCTTTGTAGTGGACGGACTGACCTGTCCCTGGTTCCATTGACTTTTTCCACCGTGGGTTTAGTGTTTGCACATAGCACATTTTGACCCTAGAATTATGATTCATAGTTAATATTTCAGTTCTGCCAGAACTTCCTTCTGTTTTTTTGAACTTCCTTCTCTCACCTTACTACAACTGCTGCTGCTACTACTACTACTATTATTGTTGTTGTTTTTGAGACAGGTTTTTCTGTGTAGCCCTGCCTGTCCTGGAACTCACTCTGTAGCCCAGGCTGGCCTCAAACTCATAGAGATCCACCTGCCTCTGCCTCCTGAGTGCTGGGATTAAAGGCGTGCGCCACCACCGCCTGGCTTGGACAGAATTTATACACAGTGTTCGGGACTCCTCTTTGGTCTGTTTTACCGTAAGGTCACATGGCTGCTGTAAGGTGTGGATCTTTGCTCACCATCTCAGCAGTATTGCTCTACATGTCATGAGCCCAGGAAGAAAAATCAAAATGAAAAATGAAAAATGTGTTTTCCTCTCAATGTGTATTGCTTTTGCACTATTGTAAATTGGAAAAAATAAGATCACCAGTTAAACATCATATACCAGTTCCTGAGATAGCTCTTCTCCCTGGTCCAGTCGTCTGTGGTGGGAAGATGAGGGTGAATAGTCAAGAGGCAGATGATAACCCTTAGATGAAAACCTCAGCAGACAGTACAAAAACCACTTCTGGGATTACGTGAAATGACCATGTCCCTGTCCCGAGACTTCCTGTTTTTGTTTTTACCTACGAATGTTACTCTAGTTAAAATGCATCTCACTGCTTTGAATCTTTTTTCACTGGTGAAGCAGAATCTTACTTCACATACATATCACTCATGGATGATAGATTTTTCCAGAAAAGGTTTATTTTCATTTGTGGCAAGTTATTAGGTTGCAGTGACCACCCTAGTCCCACTGGGGAGTGTGCTGATTTAAGATTGGGTTTTAGTCCTCTGAGTCCAGGTTTGTTTTTGATTCATCCTTAGTGCTCATGGCTTTCCAGAGCCCTGGTCTCACATTTGGATGTTAACCAGACTCTCTCTCTCCCTGGTTGGTCTGACCTTGATTTTTTTTACTCTCCCCCAGTGATATGGTCCAAAGGTCTCCTGAGCCCCCAGCTCAGTCCTGTTTACTTCTGGAAATGACCACCACATATGGAAGAAAAAGCAACTTCACATCTTAGGCATGCCTCTCTTAGATTCTCCTTTCTTCCAGATTTCTGCCACATGGATATTTACTTTCTTAGTAACTTGTCAAGTCCTTCAAACATTAATTTTTTAAAAAAAATCTCTAATTATTAACAGGCGGCTGTCCAAGGCAAATTAGTCACTTTGGGAAGCAAAACCCTAAATGTGGGCCACATTCTTGAACAAATGCCATTTTGGAATAAGAATTGTTCTTATTTCTGGGACCCTTTGTCTCTTTCATAACAAGGAGGGACTCACTGCTGACTGTTGATGACGGTCACATCTGTTGGTTTTCCTAAGGAGTTTTCTGGGAAGCATAGACCCAGGGCTGTACATGGTCTGCTCTTTTCACAAGAGAGCATACATATTCAGTCTGAGCAAGTTGAGAATGTGAGAAAGAGCTGTCCACTGTGATACACAGGTTTTTCTCCAACCAATGGCATTCATCTTTGATAAAGCCCAGGATTTCCTCCACTCTGCCTGGGAGAGGAGGAATGAGAAGAGTTGAGCAAGGAAGAATTGGAGAAACTTCAAAAGTCCTGAGTGAAACTTATTCACCATCTCCATGCGGCTCTTACGTGACAGAAGACATTGTGACTTCTCATGCTCTTTTTTCTAGGCATGATGGTTTGAATAAATCACCCCCATATTTGCATGCTTAGTTAGTTCCCAGTTGATGAACTGTTGGGAAAGATTGGGAGGTGTGGCCTTGCTGGAGGAGGAGTGGCCTTGCTGGAGGAGGTGTGGCCTTGTTGGAGGAGGTGTGGCCTTGCTGGAGGAGGTGTGGCCTTGCTGGAGGAGGTGTGGCCTTGCTGGAGGAGGTGTGGCCTTGTTGGAGGAGATGTGGCCTTGCTGGAGGAGGTGTGGCCTTGCTGGAGGAGGTGTGTCCTTGCTGGAGGAGGTGTGTCCTTGCTGGAGGAGGTGTGTCCTTGCTGGAGGAGG